CGGGGGCTCATTTCTGCAGTGTTGTATGAGCCCAGGTTTGACACGAGAGCTCATAAGCTCAGGCGAGGTAATCACCTGATCTGGGCGGGGGAGTAGACACGTCCGTGCCCTTTCCCCCTCGTTCTGTCTCTAAAATTAGCAGCTCCCCGGGTTAAGAAGGATCCACCCATCTCCATGTACCTCCTACAAAAGCGCTGCTGCACACACTGTCCTGCAGGATCCAGACATTCAGCCTTTTATAATCATCAACTTACTCTGTTAGAGGGGAAAACAAAGTTAAATCTTGCATGTAAATCATTCTTTTCTTTTTTTTTTTCTTTTGCTTTCCCAGATCAGAACAAAGAAGCTGCAGCTCGTTCTCAAAATGCAGTATTCCCATCACTGTGAGCACCTGTTAGAGAGACTGAACAAGCAGCGAGAAGCCGGCTTTCTTTGTGACTGCACTGTTGTTATTGGGGAATGCCAGTTCAAAGCACACAGAAACGTGCTGGCCTCTTTCAGCGAGTACTTCGGTGCATTTTACAGAGACACGTCTGACAATAATGTTGTTTTGGATCAGACTCAAGTGAAAGCTGATGGATTCCAAAAACTCCTGGAATTTATTTATACTGGAAACTTAAACCTTGACAGGTAACATACACTGTTAAAGGGGGAAAGACAATAGGGAAATAAACTTTGTGTTGAGGCAATACTGGCTTTTTTTGTTCTTTGTAATAAGTTCTGGAGGGAAAAATATAGTAGTGGATGTGATTAACCAGTTGAGGATCATCTATTTGCATGTTTAAAATATCACGTGGTATGTGAGTGTCAAAACAAAGGTATGTTGTCTGATATTTCACTGAGTGGTAGTTTCACTCTCTAAATCTTTCTGTGTGGATTGGAAGGGATTAACAATCTGATGTCATTACCGGGAGAGAGAAGGATAAGTGTGTTCTTTCTGAAGTTGGATTGTGGAAGTCCATTTTTTGCAGAGAACACACAGAAACTGTATGTAGAGTAGAGACTAAAGTCTGAGGAATGCATGAAAATGGGCACGAATTTAAAAAAAAAATGTTTTCTAGAATTTGCATGATTTTTTTCTTAAAAATCTGACATTATAGTGTCCAAAAGGAGTCACAGAAAAAGCGTTTCCCCTCCTTACTGTGTTGGTTTTGTGCCCGTTGTGTTGCTTTGTGTACAGTGAGGATTCTTAGCAGTGCTCTTCTCTCAGGGAAAGGAAGAGGCTCCCTCGTGAGGGAAGCGTGACTGCTTGGAAGTAATGTAGGCCAGAGTTTTAACTCCTTTCTCAACGTCTGGCATCAAATGCATTTTAAAAAAGCTTTGTTCTGTTGATGTCTGAAAACTCATGCTCCATAATTTAAGTGTGTACATGCAGGGTGGTGGTTTTTTAAATTAGCTCCAAGCGTTAATAAGCTGTGTGGTGAAGTCAGGGATCTGTGCTTTGCAAATTACGGCTGAGCAGCAGCGTGCAGCGTTCTTGATGCCCGTCTGGGACCCCAGCAGGAGAGTTCCTGGATTAATTCTGAGCAGTTGAGATCTCTGAAGGAAGAGGAAGGTGAAAGTACAGTTCTCACCCAGGGAGAACTGTTTGACTGAAGATGCCACCCACAGGTCTGACCATGTGCACCCGTCACCTAGTGCCGTGTCCCTCTAGGCGACCGCTGCAACCGTCTGCAAATTCTGTTGTCCTCTGTGGTGGTGGGTGCATGACTGACACCAGGAGGCTGTACTTTGAACTCAGTGCCAGTTTAATACAGGATGCTGAAACAGTTCTCTTCCCATTCAGAGAGTAATTGCGGCTGGCTACTTACTGCTTCATTGCATTTACTGTGTAATAGATGGTTAGAATGATGTTATTTGCCATCAAACTCTCTTTAAAGTGCTGTAAATCCATCAGTGCATTGATGGTTCATGTTGCCACCTTTTCCAGATCAATTTTTTTCCTAAACTGTCAAGGCACTTGTTGCAGGAACTGAAAAAATAGAGTATAGTAGTTTAAATGAGGACTTCCTTGGGGTTAACGCTGGCTGTGTGCAGCTGATACAGAATTAAGACTGTTTGCAACTTGTTTTATAAAACAAGATTAATAGCTGCCTCACAGAAGTGCTGAGGTGAATTACTTAAGACTTTTGGCAGAAGGATTATAGAATGGTAATTTATGTGTTTTATTCTCCGGTGTTTTATCCCTTTATGCTGTGATTTCTGAGCTTTTTGGACCAATAACCCCATGTTTAGCCTGACCACCTTACAACTGGACTTTTAACTTTAAAATTCTACAAAAGACACGTAACTGAAAATAAATAACTGGAAATAAAGCTGTGGATCTGCAGATCCCACTAGACACGGGCCATCAGTTGGGGAGCGATTGTCACACCAGTGTCTTGTGGCACTACAGCACCTGAGAGATTAGACCTCGCTGTGTGTGTTCTCAAAGGTACATTTCCTGACAGTGTAACTTTTCTGTAGCTCTGCTGTCTGTATTTGGTACAGAACAAGTGTTTGCTTTGCCCAGAGTATTGTCACCCAAGTCTTGGGTTTTTTTTTTTTGCAGCTGGAATGTTAAAGAAATTCACCAGGCTGCTGACTATCTCAAAGTAGAAGAAGTGGTCACTAAATGCAAAATCAAGATGGAAGACTTTGCTTTCCTTGCTAATCCCTCTTCTACGGAGACATCCAGCATCACTGGAAACGTTGAAATGAATCAGCAGACTTGTCTTCTGACTCTGCGAGATTACGATAACCGGGAGAAAGCAGACGCTGCTTCTGCAGAGTTGGTTCCACCACAGGCCAAGAAAACAGACTTGGAAAAGAAATCTCCTCAAACCAAAAAGCGAAAGAAGAGTTTCAGCTCCCCCAAAAGCGTGCAGAACAAATCCGTACAATATCAGAACGACGCGACCGAGAACACGTCCATTGAAATGTTTTTAGATGCAAATAAGTTGGCCACCCAGATCACGGAGCAGGCTGCGCAGGGCAGCGATAACTCTCAGCTACAGCTGGCATCTGTGGTGGAAAGCGAAACGCTGGCGGCGCAGGACATCCTCGTTCAGACTATTGCAGCGAAACAGAAGCGGGGCAAGCCGCAGCAGAGCTGTGCGCTGAAGGAGCACTGCATGTCTAACATAGCCAGTGAGAAGAACCCTTACCAGCTGGAGAGTTCAGGAGAAGAGCTTGACCAGAAGTACTCCAAAGCTAAACCGGTGTGCAACACCTGTGGGAAAGTCTTCTCTGAAGCCAGTAGCCTCCGTCGACACATGAGGATACACAAAGGAGTGAAACCCTACGTGTGTCAGCTTTGTGGGAAGGCGTTCACCCAGTGCAATCAGTTGAAAACACATGTGAGAACTCACACAGGTAAGCTGCTGCTGGCCTTGTCTCGGGGACTCTGCACACCTGTAGTCACAGCCTGTGAATACAGGACTGAAAACATCTTTGTGTTCTGACTTCTTCCTCTGGAAATGTGGTCTGCTGCTGGTACACGTACGGGGATAGTGCTTAGATCCTGGTAGCATGAAATGTTTCAGCATTTTTTAGTACTAAATCATAGTTTCTACTTTAAATAGCTAGAGAGGACTTTATTAGTCTGAGCATCTTGATTTCTGGAAAGACTCCAAAGAGCTGGCTACCCTTTAACTCTGTAGGGCGATGGAGTGCCAAAAATTATTGCCAGTAGAGCATGAAAAACTCACTGTACTTCATACCAGAATTTCTATTGTTTGTGGGGTTTTTTTAAACTTCAAATCCTACTATATGTTTGATAACAAAAGTTGGGTGACAAGTAGGTAACTTCTCTTAAAAAAGGCAGGGGAGGTGGCTGAATTACTACAGCATTTGAGATTTTACTTAGTAAAATGCTCAGCTGAAATGTGTGATGGTGTTACGATCTCTGCATTCAGTAACATTGCCAGAAGCTTCTGTGGTATCAAGAGCTGCTGGACAAAGCATCAAAGAGAAATTAATTATGAACACTTAAACGTTACAACAACACGTCTGACTTAAAAAGATTATGACCAGTAAATTGCTGGAGCCTGGGAAGATGTACAGGAGCAGCACTGTGCTTGTCTGTTTGAATGTTCTTCCCTAGAGATGGAAGACTTGAGGCCAGGTTGGTTCCTTCTTCAGCAATAGCTGTTCTTCTGCCACTGCCTTTTGCTGCTCTACCCAGCCCAGTGAGCAGCAGGGGGACCTGGTTTATGTAGTTTTCTTCTTTTTGTGTCTATCATTCAGAATTCTGAAGTAACAGTGAATTAGGCAAAAAAATTATTTACTTTTGCTCTTTTTTTTCCCCCTTTGGAAAACTCTGAGCAGAGGCCAGCAGTGGAGCTCTTTCCAGGAATGTGTGAAGATGTAAACAGGTGAAGATGAGGCTTTGAGCAACCTGGTCTGGTGGGAGGTGTCCCTGCTGATGGCAGGGGGGTTGGGACTGGATGAGCTTTAAGGTCCCTTCCAACCCAAACCATTCTGTGATTCTATGATGTGTTGAGGTGCAGCAGCAGGAGAACACCTTGCTCTTTTGGTCACCGAGGGAGAGGATTTCAGATGTTGTCAGCCACTGACTAACCAAAGATCCGTGTGTGAGGTGGAGCTTGTGAGCAGTGTTCAGGGTCAGTTTGCTGGTAGGAATGTCAGCTGCACTTTCTGCTTTTGAGAGTGTTGTACTGTGAATTTTTGCAGGGGTGGGTGTGGAATTTCACAGTGTTGGTTGCTCAATGGCAGGGGAGATGTCTCATACTTTTATTTTTGAAGTTTTTACATACACAATGTACTTAATTGTCGAGTTCCTGGTTTGATTGGGCACTGCCATAGGAACGCAGGCGTAGGCTCTTTTATACAATTGTCTAAAACTGCAGAGTTTTACAATTATTACCTTTTTTTTTCCCCAAAAGCTAATACGTTAAAAAATAATCTGTTATCTGCTGTATGCCTGGCACATTCTACTTCAGTGGACTGAGGAGGGGATGTTCCAAGATGTTATTTGTAAGAAGTATTAGGCCGGACACTTGAGCTTTGCTCAGGTAATGGATGGGAAAGCTTTCTTAGGTAAATACAGAGAGCACAAGGGTTTTATTTCTCACTAGGGGAGAAGCCATACAAGTGTGAACTGTGCGACAAAGGCTTTGCTCAGAAGTGCCAGTTGGTGTTCCACAGTCGGATGCACCACGGAGAAGAGAAGCCCTACAAATGTGATGTCTGCAATCTGCAGTTCGCAACTTCCAGCAATCTGAAGATTCATGCCAGGTAGGCTAAAGTCAGATCCTGCAAATGCTTATCCATGTGTTTAATTAAAGAGAATAATTTACTCCAGCGTGTGTGAGAGTTCCACATTCACATAATTTGGTCATTTCTACTCCTTTTCTCTTGGGTCTTCCCTCACATGGCGTAGCAGAATAATTAGATCTACGTACTTGCTCGTTAGGGAAGTGATTTGTGATTTATGAATGTTACAGCCTACACACCGGTATCCTTATGGCAGTGATGTGGGGTGGTTTGTTTTGGTTTAAACTGCTTGGTAGCACCAAAGAGGAGAGAGTTCCATGATGGGAAGTAAAACAGAACAATTCTCACTGTTCACTGTCTTTTTTGCATTTTTTTTGGTGGGAGGAGGAATTAAGTTCCCTTCTTAGGAATCATCATTTTCTCTTTCAGTGCATGTGGTGCCAGATGTGCCCAGTTCCACGTGCAGAGCCTGTAGTTCAGTTCAGCTGCTGTTGCAGTCGTGGACGTGCTGATTCCCAGAGTCAACAGACACTGAATTTCACTCTGTGGGAAGCTGCCAACTCAAATCCAAACTCATAGCTGTTAACTTTTTTTTTAGCCAGCACTGAGCCAGCACTGTGCCCTCGTGGCCAGGAAGGCCAATGGCATCCTGGGGTGCATTAGAAGGGGTGTGGTTAGTAGGTCGAGAGAGGTTCTCCTCCCCCTCTACTCTGCCCTGGTGAGGCCACATCTGGAATATTGTGTCCAGTTCTGGGCCCCACAGTTCAGGAAGGACAGGGAACTGCTGGAGAGAGTCCAGCACAGAGCCACCAAGATGATGAAGGGAGTGGAGCATCTCCCTGATGAGGAAAGGCTGAGGGAGCTGGGGCTCTTTAATGAGGTCTCCCCTCAGTCTCCTCTTCTCCAAGCTAATGTTTATAAATATGTAAAGGGCGAATGTCAGGAGGATGGAGCCAGGCTCTTCTCAGTGATGCCCAATGGTAGGACAAGGGGCAATGGGTGTGAGCTGGAACACAGGAGGTTCCGCTTAAACTTGAGAAGAAACTTCTTTACAGTGAGGGTGACAGAGCACTGGGACAGGCTGCCCAGGGAGGGTGTGGAGTCTCCTTCTCTGGAGACATTCAGGACCTGCCTGGACGCCTTCCTGTGTGATCTCATTTAGGTTCCTGCTCTGGCAGGGGGATTGGACTGGATGATCTTTCAAGGTCCCTTCCAATCCCCAACATTCTGTGATTCTGTGATTAGCACAAGGAACTTTGGGGATAAAATACTAATTGAGGAAAGTTACTTAATTGTGGGTGTTGCTTCCCTCTCTGCCAGGAGGTGACTGACTGAGGTCTGTGTTCGTTCGCAGGAAGCACAGCGGCGAGAAGCCCTACGTCTGTGATCGGTGCGGTCA